TTTGGCAGCATTGCATATTCTCATATCTCTACTCCAAATAGAGATAAATTTGATGAAAAAAGTGAGAAGCTTATTTTCATTGGCTATAGTGATGAGTCAAAAGGTTATCGCCTTTACAATCCTATAACTTGCAAGCTTGTGGTTTCAAGAGATGCTATTTTTGATGAAATGGGATCATGGAGCTGGGAAGGAAATTCGTCCAAATTGATATCTCAAGAGGAGTTCTACGATGCATCAAATTTTGAGGATGAACTCGGTCATGGTAGTCCACCTCAAAGTCCAAATCCTCGCCCACCAAGATCGCCGGTTCGAGATGAAAGTTCAAATTCCGATTCACCGATTAAAAAGACTCGATCCTTGAGAGAAATTCTTGAGACATCTGAATTTGCTCTCTTTACCTGTGAACCTCAAAGTTTTGAAGTTGCAGTGAAGGAAGAAACATGGAGAAAAGCTATGCAAGAGGAGATTACCATGATAGAAAAAAATAAAACTTGGGAATTGGTGGATATGCCGAAACACAAAGATGTTATACGACTGAAATGGATTTTCAAAACAAAGTATAATGAAGATGGAAGCATACAAAAACACAAGGCTAGGCTTGTAGCGAAAGGATGTTCTCAACAACCGGGAATTTATTTCAATGAGACGTTCTCACCGGTTGTTAGAATGGAAACTATCAGGGTTGTTCTTGTTCTTGCTCTTGCAGCGCAGTTGGAGCTTCAGGTATTCCAACTTGATGTCAAATCAGCTTTCCTTAATGGAGAGCTTGAAGAAGAAGTTTATGTACAACAACCTGAAGGATTTGGAGTGAAAGGGAAAGAAGATAAAGTGTATCGCCTCAAGAAAGCACTTTACGGACTGAAGCAAGCTCCAAGAACTTGGAATAGCAAGATTGATGACTATTTTCTCAAGAGTGGATTTCATCGAAGCCCTAATGAGCCCTCTCTCTATGTGAAGAAGCAAGATCATGATTTCTTGATTGTGTACATCTACGTAGATGATCTTATCTACACTGGCACCAATATAAGGTTAGTCGAGGATTTCAAGGGAAAAATGATGAATGAATTTGAGATGACTGATTTAGGAGTCATGAAGTATTTTCTTGGAATACAAGTGAAGCAGTCCAAAGGAGAAATCTTTATTTCTCAAGAGAAATACACAGAAGATCTTCTGAAGAAATTTCATATGGAGAATTGCAAATCAATTTCAACTCCTATGGCAGCGAACGATAAGTTGAGAAAAGATGACGGAGCAAAAAAAATAGATGCAAAACTGTTTAGGAGTCTTGTTGGTTCACTGATTTATCTCACAAACACAAGGCCGGATATTGTTCAAGCCGTGAGCATGATCTCAAGGTTCATGAATGAACCAAGTTAACTTCATTTTGCAGCAGCTAAAAGAGTCGTGAGATACTTGCAAGGAACAAAGAAAATAGGGATCAAATATGTAAAAGAAAATGAGAGCAAGTTAATTGGATATAGCGACAGTGATTGGGGAGGTTCGTTGGATGATAGAAAAAGCACTTCAGGTTATTTATTTTGTCTCGGAACTAATGTTGTTTCATGGAGTTCAAAGAAGCAAAAAACAGTAGCGTTATCATCCGTGGAAGCTGAGTATATTACTGTTACAGATGCAACTTGCGAAGCTATTTGGTTGAGACGATTACTAGCAGATTTGAAACAAGTTCAAAAACAGCCCACAGTAATTTATTGTGACAATATGTCTACGATAGCCACGACAAAAAATTCGGTGTTTCATTCGAGAACAAAACACATTGAGTTGCGACATCATTTCATCCGAGATATGGTGAGTAATGGTGAAATCAGCTTGGAATTCATTGGAACGAATGAGCAATCCGCAGACTTTCTAACCAAGGCGATCTATGTCGAGAAATTTCAAAAGGCAAGAGACATTCTCAAAATTGCAAATTAAGAGGGGGTGTTGAAAACGTAATTTGCATTTATTATCTAGATTCATGAATTATAATTATATATGCATTTGTCCATTAATGTACTAGAGGAGGAGAAACGTATCTATTCAATGTTGGTTCATGAGTTAGGCTAGATACATGTTAAATCTTATCTATAAATACCCATGTAACTCAAGCCATTAATGGTATCAAAGTCACAAAAATTTACAATATAATATCTTCTCTTCTACAATCATAAAAAAGTGCATCAGCACTATATTACGTATAATTTCGAGCATTCGATATTCTTTTTTTTTTTTTCATTCGATTTTTAATCAATCCTCAACAGAATCCTTGCAGGGAAACCTATAAATAGACAACTAAAAGAATTCTTAAATAAGTTACTCAATGTAATACTTAGCCACCATTTGACGCCCATTAATTGGATTTATAATGAGGGAATAATGTTTTTTTGAAAGATTGGTGGTCGTAAAAATTGAAAAGTTTTCGATTTGCATGAAATATTATTTTACTGAAGATTGTCTGATTGAAAATAGGAGAGAGAAAAATTTAAATTAAATTGATGAGTTTTAAAGGGGACTAAACGGATCAAAAGATTATAAAAATTACAGAATTTATATCGACTAGACACCCTTGGACCTATCAAGCTCATAATAGAAAGGTCTTCAATTGCGTACCAGTTGAATTACTATTATTTAATTTTACTATTCCTTGGAGCATATCACAGGCTACGTCATTTATTACTGAACTAAGTCATCTCCATTTTTTAAGGTAATATACCAACACAACATCAGTGTGTTTCAGGCTCCACAAGGGAAAGCTGTTGGGGGTTTGGATTCTCCAACCGTATATATAAAGTCAAACTCACGAGAACAAGAGGAAGAGGGACGTAAAACGGACCTTCCACTAAACAATGCAACTTATGAAGGAATGGAATGAGAGGGGAAGTACTATTTCCGTTGAAGCATATAATAAATTTGATATTATATGTATACATCAAAATATGTACCATCCCTATGCAGATTTGGGTGTAGATATAACCAGGACCTAAGAATATCCATATCCATAAATTCGTCATGGCGCAGGCGAAGATAGAATAAGCACAAACTGTCTACTAAATTACCTGAACGGACATTTATCTAGGGCACTCAGAGTCTCGTGTTGAGCCTAAAGAATTTGAAAAATATTTCGTCTGCTAAAAACTATTATGTTCATTCTCGATATGGTTTTTTCAAACCGAAATTATTTCCTCAAATATTTCGTAGAGGATATTGAAAGCGTGGACCCAAAAAATAATCTCCTTCCAAATTCACAGAGAAAGAATACAATCACTTATAGTGATATCAAGTTCCTTCTCGGCTAGATGATTTTGCACTCAATGAAAATTGCAGAGTAACAAGTAATTTGTCCTTATCTAATAATTAATTCACTCATCTAACTTCATAACTCCCTTATCCTCGTCCAAGTCACTTATCATTATCTCAACAGTCAACAAACACACGTAGCTTTCCATACTTTTCCTCAAGTTGGCTTGAGCTCGCTCAGCTAGAACAATGGTTCCTTCAGGGTCTTAGTGAGAACGCCAACCGATGTCAAAATTCACCATTAGTTTTAAAAGAAGTTTCTAGAACTATAATAATTTGCATGTATCTTGAGAAACTACCCTAGATTCTGCCTCAACGCTACTTCTAACAACAATTGACTTGCTTCTTCCTTCTTCGTGTAACTACACTTCCTCCAAATGTGCATAGAACAAGCCATTAAGCACTAGTTTAGGCCCCAATCTTCGGTCGCTAACTTTTCATGAGTAACAAGCTTTTTTTTTTAAATGTCTTCTTCCAATACTTTAGTATCTTATACACAGCTCTGAAAACATTAGATATCTTTCATAGCCATCTTAAAAGCAATAAAAATCGGACAATAAACAACTTTTTCATACATCCAAAAAGTCAAAAAGTTCTACTATTCCATCTATTAGTTAAGTAGCTATTCCAGATGAGCTTCTTGAAACAACTCTAACTCTATAAGGACCTCAAGCCACTTCAGAATGTAGCAATAGCACCAATTGCCTACCATAAAATGCCACATAAAAGAATACATAATCCAGGAATGGCCATGCACTTAAAAATAGGTTCATATTTATTAGCTGATACCACATACATTCAATATCTATTTTATCACAGGAACACACTAAGGGTCCGTTTGACTGTAAAGATGAAATTGAATTGAATTGAAAATGAATTCCAGGGACTTGAATTACCTATAAATTATTTTCTTGAGAATTGTAAATTATTGTGTTTGATTGCTATAATTTTTCACGTGAAAAATGTTGAAATAAAAGTATTTTTTGTTATTCATTTGGTTTTGTTTTATGTGAAAATTGTCAATTAAAGGGATAGATTTTACTGGTATTGGGTATAAAATTTGTTTCAATTGCCAAAAAAAATAAATTTAAGAAATTTAAGAAAATTATATATCTTTTGATATTCATTTGACTTTATTTTAAATGAAAATTGTCAGTTAAAGGGAAATATTTTTTTTACAATAATTCTTAAAATTTACTTCTGTTGCTAAAAAAAAAAACGAAATTTTTTTTTTTTGCTATAGTAAGTAAGTGGGCAATGAAAACCAAGAAAAATCCTATGTGTCAAGGCAACCAAGATTTCCATTTCCATGGAAAAAAAAGCCATCAAATACCCTTAAATTTGGAAAGTAGAATTCCTTTTCCATTTTTCACGGAAAATTAACCCTATCAGACAGACCCTAAGATCATGTTTGTTTTTCATTCTTCCAAAACATATTTTTCTATATATTCATTTTCAGTCACACATTCACATAATAAAATATTATATACATAAGCTCAAAATTTTTTCTTATTTTTTAATTACATATTCTTTAAAAAAAATTACTATTTCAAAACACATTTTTCTCAAAAAATTCATTTTAATGATTGTCAAACAGGGGCTTAATCTAATTTTCTCCTGATTTTTGATTTATTTGTAATATTATTTTAACGAAAAATTTTGTTTAAAAAAAAAAAATACCGGAAAGATTGGAAAATAAAGGCGGATAAAGAGGGGCAGAATAAAGAGCAAGACAGAAAAAATCAACCCTTTAAAGCCCTAAATTGGAAGTACAAATTTGATTCTACATTTGTACGTTAATTTGTAACTGCTCCAAAGCCCTTAAATTTCAGAGTAGCTTCCACTGCCCATTAATGGCGGTTGCAGAACCCTCGCCATCTATGGAAATTTTAGTGAGAGATCCGGATGGTTTTGTTATTTGGCATGGACTTCCATTCACCAATGGGCAGCCACGAATCAAGCTCGACAAAATCCAGTGTACCAGCGCGAAATTCAGCGAGGATGGATCAAAACTCATGGTTATGAAATCGGACTCTTTGGTTAGCATATATGAGTGCAAAAGCTTGAGAGAGATTAGGTCCCTTCAAGTTCCCAATGTTCTTGCGGCTACTATTTCCCCACGTGGGAGTTATCTTCAATCCTTTCAGAAACCTACGTCCCCGCAGGAGAAGAATGTGGTTCTATGGAAGATAGATACTGGAGATTCTGCTTATCAGCTTTCTCAGAAGAATATGACTAAAGCAACATGGTATTTGTTATGCTTTGATGAGTTAATCTGTGATTTGAGGGTGGACTTGTTGAAATTTTCACTGATTGATTGATTGATTTCTTGGGTTTGTTTTAGGCCAGTGATAAGGTTCAGCTCTGATGAAGCTGTGGCATGTCGTCTTGCAACCAATGAAATACAATTTTTTGACCCTGTACATTTCTCTAGAGGGATTGTTAATCGGCTTAGAGTTCCTAGCATAGCTGCATTTGAGCTTTCCAGAAATGTTGGGTCTTATGTGGCATCATTTGTTCCAGAATCCAAGGTTTTCAATGAAAAATTGCTCTATTTTACTGAAGTTAACTGCACTCCACTCTACTGTTTTGCCTAGTCATTATGAACCAAAATAACTATCCCTTTTTATTGTTGAGCGATTTTATGCGAAATAAATACTGATTTCTGTCAATGAACACTTTTTCCACATCAATTTATGATGTTTCTTCTGTATTTTGTTGTCTCGAGTCCGACAACAATATATATAAGCCTGAATTTCATGCCAGACTTCATCTATTGCAATATAAAAGGAATAAAAGATCACTTTGAGACATCGTACCCATGGATAGAAAAAAGAAATCTATGAGACTAGAGTGAAATCTTTAGCTGGAATTTTATTTGGGATTGCTTAGAGCTTGAAGGTGTTGTTACATTCTGAAATTACCAAATCGAATACATCTTGTGGAAATTTGGGAAGTAGTAAAAAATAGATCGAAAATGATTTTGGAACTATGGATTATCTCCAATTATTATAACCTGTTTAATTTTTATTTTTTGTGGAATTATATGTAGACACATAATTCTTTAATTCATTTATTCCTTGTAGGGAATGCCCGCCAATGTTCAAATATTTGCCCGTGGAAAGGAGTTGCAGAGTCAGCCTGTTGCTAGACGCAGTTTCTTTCGCTGCTCATCAGTACAACTGAACTGGAACTGTGATTCCACAGGGCTTCTTGTTGTTGTGCAGTCAGATGTTGATAAAACCAATCAAAGTTACTACGGGGAGACAAAATTGAACTATTTGACTACGGATGGAACTCATGAAGGACTCGTGCCACTTCGTAATATCATATCATAACTATCCACCTTCTGCTTCCTCACTGTCTATTATGCATTGTTTGTTCGTTAAAATGTGCCAAATAAGTCATTGTTGGATATTTTGGCAGGTAAAGAAGGCCCTGTACATGATGTTCAATGGTCATATGCAGGCAAAGAATTTGCAGTGGTTTATGGATGTATCCTACTCTTAGTATTACCCCCATTCCTGTTCCCACCCACTCCACCATTATTTTCTTCTCCACTTACATACTAGCAAAAGAAGTTTAAAGCCAAATGGCATAGAATCATTTGGTATTGGGACAGTTAAATTTTGCATAAGGTCACACTCTTTTCAGAAGAAGTCTTTACTTGGCGATAGGTTTTAAGTATTTGCAATAGAACTATAGAAGTATGATTGCAGATGCATTGACCCATGGGTTTTTTTTTTTTTTTTTTTTTTTTCCCTAGATGGATTGCAAATATAGCAGATACTTATTGTTAGACTCACTGGCTCTAATTCTGTAAATATCGGGCTGAATCATCCCGGCGCACGCAAAGAAAGGCCTGAATCTATAAAGTTTTGTGAAAGAAATTTTGTTCTGAAAGTAACCCCTTTATTGATGACCTCATCATTTTGATTCTTGTTCTGGCTACTTCTTTGTGTGCCTTGACTGATGTCAGTTATGCCTGCAATGGTGACAATATTTGACAAGAAGTGCAATCCTCTACTTGAGCTTGGAACGGGCCCTTACAATACTATCAGATGGAATCCGAAAGGGAAGTGTATCCTTGAAAAGAATGGTGAAACGTTCTACTTCATTTTATGCTCTCTTTCATTTAAGTTAGTAGCTTGTTTCATTTTGGGAAATGGGTAGTGTGTGCCAAGACTGCTGGTTAATTTTTGTTTTCACAGTCACTGTTCTGTGTCCTTAATAATGTGGTGCACAGTTATATGTGTGGCAGGCTTTGGGAACTTACCTGGTGACATGGTACATTTTTATTCCTTTCTTCATTAATGTGATATTCTCGTAGTTTCTTCTGAATATACTCTCTTCAAATCATAAGATTTTTATTCAATTTATTTATTCTTTATTATATTTATTTTTTATTTTATATATATAATTTTATTTTTTTTGTCAATTGATGCTTGAATTGCTTGTTAGCATCAATTCTGGTTTTTTGGTCGTTACACTTCTGGAGAACATGTATATCTAGTTCTGATTTAGAAGATCAGATCCCCCATCAGAATCACCCACTGCTCAGGGTAAATCGTTTAAAGTCATAATTAAATTTAAAAAAAGCAAATCAAATCTGACTGTAAACCACCATAATCACCACTAAGTTGAAAAAACGAGATCATAATAAGAGCCTCAGTGCCAATAAACTTAGGTTTCACTGGTGTTTTCATAATGCCAGAGCTATGCTTTGACTACATAAAAGCACCTTCCTCACAGCATAAGCCTCAAGGTGGCCAAGGCTTGTGCTACTTATGGTTTTCCTGTTGTCACTATCCGGATTGTTTCTAACCCCCAGCTTTTGAGGTTGAATTTGCATACCGTAGAACGTTTAAGAGTACATGTTTGAGTTCTAAACAAATATCAATGCATAAAAGCTGAAAAGAAAAGAAATGGAGATCAAAGAACAAGTGAAGGGCTCAAATAAAATCTCCAAAAATGAAGTTATAATTTTTCAGTAGGAGACTTGTGCTGAGTAAATTCAATCTTCGTCTCTTTCTTATGTATTTTTTTTGTTGTCTTTGTTAAATTTCTATTTTCTTCCTCTTGATGTTATTTCCTTTAAATTAAAGCACACAAATGTCTTGAAACATTTGGTTAGTTGTATCGATCACTTGCAGTTCTAGTAGTGGGTTACTGATCTTTTTATTAGATACTGTTAATTTATTTTTAGGTACTTGGTTGATCAGTTTTATGGTTTTGATTGCAAATTAGGCCTTTTATTTTGTTGAAATATTATATTTTTTTAGATGGTTTATAGTTTACCCTGTATTATCTTTTAACCTTTTTAAACAGTGGTTTTGACTATGCGGGTCCTTTTTTGCCATACAAGTTGATCTATTGGTAAATCTTTTAAAGGTCAAAGGAAATCAAGTCTTCTGAAACCACCCTAGCCCAACTTAATGTCTGTTTTTCTCTCCCTCTTGTAATATGTTCATTTCCTCTCAACCCCAGATTTGCTGGCTGAGAACAGTAGTGAGTGGGTAGTTGGGTAGGGAAAGAGTTTGGATTTGAAGGAACAGATTGGCCAGCAAAGGGGGATAGGTGAAGGGTGGGACTGCAAATTCAAGAAGGGATTGGGAGAGGTTGGGTGAGCTACTAAGGAAAGAGAACTGTTAATAGTGAGGAAGAAGCATGAACAGGGGCAGAGCTGACAAGGGGAAGGAAAAAGTTGATGGTTGAACTGGAGGTGATGGTTGGGTGAGGAATAGGAAAGGAAGAAAGGATTTTTGGTGTCCATTTTTTTCCTTTTTGATTTTTGTCCCATTTCTTTCTCCTCTTTCAATTTTCTATTTTGCCTTTTCTTTCTCTTTTAATTTTGTCTTCATAGGAAAGGAAGAAAGGATTTTTGGTATCCTTTTTTTTTACCCTTTTGTTTTTTGTCCCATTTCCTGTCTTTGCTTACATAGGGAATTTCTCACAAATTTAATGGTACTAGGGGTTTAATTTGGTGATTTTTAAAAACTTTGAGGACTATTTTGACATTTAGCTCAAAACTTATGGATAGAAATTAAAATAACCCTTTCTAAGTCATTCTAACATTAAAAACTGGCCAAATGCAATTTAAGTTAATATTGTTGTAGAATTGGATAGAGACCATAAAAGCCATTTGACTGATATATTTTTTTAGGTGAGAAAGTCACATCATATTAGAGTTACATGGGTTCTGATATGGAAATGTAAATCATATTATCTTTCACATTGAGCTATTTATGCATCCCAAGTGTAGCAATACCATAATTCATGTGACTAAGCTAGCAGCCTAGCGTGCAGCAGAATATTAGTAACGTGCTTGTCACGCTGTCTTGTGCTTAGTTTAACTATCCTTTTCCTCACCTCTTTCTTTATCTCTTTGTCAACTCAATCATCTTCTGTGGTTTTTGCTAGGGTTCGTTGTCTACTTGCTTTATGAATTTAGTGCTTGTTTGGTAGAGATTTTGATAATTGATTTTTTGATCGTTAGAGATAAAGTGGATCTTACCTGTGAGAGAAGAATTCAAAAATAACGATTGGAATAGTGAAATAAAGGTCAAAAAATTGATTTTAATTGGATTAAAATCTCTACCGAACAAGCTTTTATGTTGTCAGAAATGCCTGTTTGTTTAACATCATCACGTAGGTCAATTTCTGATAATTTTATATAGTTTTAGTCTACCTATTTGAGTAGTTCTTTGAGTGTTTCCCATGGTTAAGTTTGTATTTGCCTTTCAGGCATTTTGGGACTATATGGAAAAGCAGAAGCTCGGTACTACGAAGGCTGAATTATCAGTGACAAGTGAATGGTCCCCAGATGGACGGTATTTTATGACTGCCACAACAGCTCCGAGGCTTCAGGTTGACAATGGGTAAGCTTCTCTGTTTATTACCGTTACTGTGCAGCAGAAAAACAAAATGATTGTGTTGAACCTTCAATTTCTATGAAAATTATAAAAACTAAGCGTGATAGGACCCCAAGGGCAAAATGGACAGATCAAGAAAATGGGCATAAATGGATATTCGAGCAAATTCACGTGGGGAAGTTTGGCACCAATTCACAATAAATAGGGGGTAGAGAGTTCAATTCAAGATTGAAAATTTGGAGAATTGTTGGGAGGGTCTAGGCCTCTCGAATGCTTTGGTGCGTGTAATTCATTTCATTTTCTTGTAGCTCTATTCTTTTTTCTTCAATTCAGTGCTCATATATAAATAACCCAAAAATTCAGTTTATGTTCAATTGTCGAGTTTATTACTGCCAAAATTAGAGGGTTCTATCATTGTAATTTAGTATGTGCTGTAAAATTATCGGGTGTTGCTGCTTAAAATGAAAAATGGCTGTTTCATTGCATCAGCACAATTCATTTCTTGTTGATGGGAACTATCAGCCTCCATTTAGAATAGAAGTTGTGTAATTATGTCTCTAAGATGAGGTATGAGTTGGCTTGCTTTGAAATTAGTTGTAAACATGTAATTGATGGTTATAATTTCACTATCCCACTGGTACTAAAATACCTCAGATAAACAATGAGGTGACGAAACAAATGCAGCTTTTGGTCCATAAGATTATTCTAGTAAAAAAATATTCTAAATTCCAAATCCAATTTCCGCATAACTTTTGACCTTTAAGTCCATCAGCAACGAGTTAATACAATGGATGGGGAGGTAAATGTGTTCTCGCAGCTTTGTGCAGAAATAATTGTACATTTCAGCTGGTTATTATTTTATTTTTCACTTTTTTTGTTGAAGGATCAAAATCTTTCACCACAATGGGTCATTGTATTACAAGAGGATGTTTGACAAACTGTTTCAGGTTGGTGCCTTTTTCTGCTGTGTTTGATCAATTTGATTTTGTGCTGACTTTTGTCTTTTTATGCCTTCTATTCTCACAGGCTGACTGGAAACCAGAGTCACCTGATAAGTTCGGTGATATTGCAGAACTTGTGAAGTCAGTTGACTTGTTGAAAGTGGAAGAAACAAAAACACAAGGTTTTTCATTTCATTTGCCCTTTGCAGAGAAAGTTTGATTTTTGTATTTGTTTAATGGCCAGGAAAATGAATTCACAGTGTTTTGTTCAGCACCAGGGTCAAAATCTGTACAGGCCTCCACAAAAGCTACTCCAGCCAATCCTCCTTCACAAAAACCTGCTGCTTATCGCCCTCCTCATGCTAAAGCTGCAGCTGCCGTACAGGCCGAGGTACGCGCAAGTTCTTATTGACAGAGTATCATGTAATTCTAAGCTTTGTTGCTATCTACTTTTTTTTTTTTTTATAACCATGGGTGTCCGGACCAACTTATGCGCACCTCGACTAATTTCACGGGGCCCCTGAAATGCAGTCGGGTACTCACCTCAGTGGTCCTGAGGGGATTTGAATTGGTGACCATTGGAGAGCAAATCTAAGGTCTGACCACTGAGCTACCCCTCAGGGTTGTTGCTATCTACTTTGACTTTAATGGATTCTGTTAAATTGACTTGATAATAAGCCAATTGGGTTCTTAAGGTTTTAGAGAGTTAGCTACTTGCTGCCTCAAGGTTGTCAAAACCTTGCCATTCAACTCCCCAACAAAGTTTGTGCTGGTTACTTGGTGACAACATTTAGAGGTGTGTTGACCGGGTTTAAAAAGTATGAGGAGTTTATTGCGATTTTGATAAATATCAACTACTTAGCAGATTTTAAAGAATCACGGGGGGTAAAATGCAATTACACATCCAATTAGTACACTGCATTAGTACTTGAATGAACTCAACAATTTTAATTATAAGAAGAGGGCCATGGACAAAGTTCTCTGATGTTAACACGAGTATGCATGTAACCACTCCCCTCTTGTACTTGAAACATATTGGCCTTCCGTGTAGTTTGATATTCTAATTAATATGCACTAGTTATTGTTGCTCCCACCTCCTGGCTTTTTAAATCTCCTTTATTGACAGGGCAAAGCCAAGATGACGTCAAAAAATAATAATAATAAATTACTGAAGTACCACCAATATCTTTTTACACCACGGTTTTTGGTTCATCGACTTCCACCACATCAACCAGTATTCACCACTCTATATTGGCTTATTCCCATCAACAAGTTTTGCATAAATGACAAGTAACATATCTCAACGGCTCCTCTTAATTCTCTATATTAGTGAAGAACTATATATACAAGTTGATATAAACGAACAAGCATTTCTTTGTTGAATTCTGCCAAATCCTAATAAAAAAATGTCTTGATACGTGAAGATTTAATGTTTTTTGTTAAAAAATGTATTTATACTTGAAGACAGCGTTTTCTTTTTAAAATTTTATGACGAGGTGGGACGCTCCTGCACAGTGAAATTATTCTTGAACATTCAAAAAGGGTTGTGAGAGAGTTCATGCAACTGTTTTTTCCCCATACTAGAAATTGTTCGATACAACCCTTTGGCAATATCTTGAATAATTGATGAGAATAGCTAGATGTAAGACCCAATTCATTTTTACTGCAATTTCTTAACTTTTGAGTTGTTATTGGTCTACTGAGTTCATTTATACTTTGCTGGGCGGTTTTATTTTTACTTTTCCTCTGTCAATGCGAACACTGATGGTTTCACATTTTAACTTGTACAGCTGTTTGGAGGAAGCCCTAGTGGGTAAGTACACTCTGGCTGACACATTTTTTCTCTTATGTGTAAAGCTTTCTGCTTGGTTACTGAATGCTACTTTCTTAACCAAAGCAGAGAAGTGAGCAAGAATGCCCTGAAAAACAAGAAGAAAAGGGAAAAACAAAGAGAGAAAAAGGCTGCTGAAGCTGCCGGTGATGCTTGATTTTGTGCTTGTCTGCAAATTGCTGCGATCAGTCACTGCAAATGAACCCAAATTTATTTCTAGACACATGGAAGGGTTCCAACCAATTGGTGCTTATGTAACATTATTTCCATAAAACCTGGTCTTGTCCTTTTTTGTGCCTTCTACAAAATTTTGTAGGGATAATAAGAAAGAAGATATAGAATTATTAGCAAGAGTTTTCTGGTAATGTTTTCGACGCAATCTTGTTTCAGTTCAACCAATCTTGTCTGTGCAGAACTTGCTGTCTACTTGATTTAAGGTTACTTCCACTGCACTGTTTAATTCAATGGCATGGCCTGTTTCTTTCTTGTTGTCTTGTTCAATTGGAGGACACGAGTAATTTACAATGATCAACTTGATCCTCGGTCGAGGGAACTTGGAGAAAGCTGCCCGCGATATTAACGGAAAATTATGTTACTTTGCAAGATATTTGTCATGAGTTGAGCGACTTTAGAGCATGTTTGGCTGTTTCATTGGCTTCTACAATAGTAGCCAAATTGTGGCTTTTTTCAGATTGATTTATACTATTTTGTGCTACACAGAAATTTCGAGGATATAAATTTGTACAAAATGGACTCTTTGAAACCGAGATACTTTTGGAAAATAAGAACTTCAATGTCAGGAGCTTAATACGTCTCGACTTTTCTGGGACTCTGACTTGGTGCAGATGCAACTAAACTTGAAATTCAAAGATGCAATTTCTCACATGCCGAAGAAAAACATGATTAAAATATGTATATTTTATGATGTTTTATCAAGAACCATGGAGCATGAAGAAATTTGCCTCCTAAAGTCTGCAAAATAGACTTAGCCCCTGTTTGGTTCCCATTATTTTTTCATTAAAATGAAAAATATGACTGTTATTCATCACATCAAGCCGCCAAATTTGAATTTATATCTGTTGTGTGGGACCCGTAACGATTATATTTTTCATTCTCATTCTTCCAAAAATGAGAAACAAACGGGGACTTAATGTGAGGCAGAACTATGGAGTAAACCCTCATTTCTTCGGGTGCTATTTGTGCATTCCGTCTATCATGCCATCAATTTTATTAGAGTTGTGAAGCGAATGTCATGTCAATGAATAATATTAAACATTTGAATAAATTTAGCGTTCAAAACTCAATATTTGAAATATTAGGGAGCAGTTGAAGATACAGACATGAGTTTAGTGATTATTCGGACAATAAACTTTGTAGAAACTCTACTGGAAAAGCCTTCATTTTTCTCATTAGGGCTTTTGCTATTCTATGCTAATTCTCACAATATTGTACTCTGCCCTTGAGAAGTTGTACGATCAACTAAAGGAAGGAAATTTCTTTTTAGAAAATTACGTATGAGGTTACCATATTTTGCTTAATGTAGCACTTTGTCTACCTGTTGAACTTTTTGACGCCTTTAGGTCCCCAACCTTAATGAAATTAAGCATGAAGATAATAGTTGGACGTAAACCGTCAACTCTATCATTACATGGCATGTATCGTCCAACTGCTTCATTATTATTATTATTTTGGATAATTTGGTCAATCCAAGGTCCACAACCTTCAACTTGCATGGGATTCACTTTCACGAGTTGCAGTTCAATATTCATGCCTTGCAAAAATGGGTAAAGGCAAAAATATAAAGAAGAAAAGAAGTGATTATATTGTAACCATGATATATACATATTTTTTTGTTCAAGGACAGTTTAAAAGATTTTTTTTAGAGGGCTTCGTTTGTACTTCGTAGAGAGGGCAAGGATGTCTATACAAATGGAAGGGGGACCAACTTTGTCAAAGAAACAATGACAAAATGGGCTAAAAGTTGAGGACATCGACAATAATTTTCGTTTTACAAAAGTAATACTAGCTTACCGTGTAATCTAATTGTACAAATTTGGCAAAATTCAATTTATAATTTAAACTAATCAAAGTTACTTTTTATCTATTAATAGTATTGACAATTACAATTTACTCATTATCTACACATTTAACCCTTGATGGTCATTGTTTGGCCAAAACAATAGTTTGAATAGAGATTTTTAGGAGGACGTGTAGTAAAAAAGTAAATTTTTGAATTTACATGCAAAATATTTTATTGTGTAAATGTATGATTGAAAATGAGTATGTAAAAAAAGAGTTTAATGATTGTCAAACAAGGGCTCATTTGATATGACGTTTGTGTTTTAATTTTACGTTTTGTAGAAGGGTATCTTGAAAAAATTGTCATAGTTTTTGTTTGGAAACTAATCTTTAAAGGAGCTTTTCTATTTAAGAAGTGTTAATGAAACCAGATTAGATGAGCTTTCTCGAAAAATTCTTCTAATTCATAAAATTAGTCAAAAGCGTTCAAAAATAACTTTTGAATCTCCAAAATTTCTTGACTTCTCAAAGATCATGCCAAACAAACCCTAAAACCCTCAACTTATAATTACATAAATTTTAATTTAAAAACACAATAAAAATAAGTTATTTTAACAATCTCCTTATAATTAAACTGTTTATTTTTGGGAAATATTATAATATTTTTTTATTTAATGATCAAAATTGATATTAATTTTAATAACTTATTAATTTATCAAACTAAGCCGACTTGCTCTAGTTTGGTTTAACTAAAAAAAAATAAATAAAAAATTAACTATAATCATACATTTAATGAGATCTATAATTTTTATCAATTTTTTAATCATATATTTCATCAATTTTTATAAAAATTTACTAAAAATTCTAATTTTTTATGGAATATAAGAAAAAAATCCAGAGACTATGGGAACATAAAACTATATTTTTAATCGAAAGCCATCGTACTTTAATGTTTACATCAGTCACTCAAATTTAATAGAAAAATTTAACTCTGTTTTAAGATTAGCCAAACACTGTGAAAAGATAGAGGGAAAATCTGGAGACAGGACGACTGTGCAAAAAGAAAGGAGCAGAGGATATGGAAGTGCTAGCCGTTAAACCACACGCCTGCTTCTTTAATTTAAATCCCAAGGTGAAAATATTCACTCAATTTTTTCCACACGCAGTGTTTGTTCTTGTTTCTCGTTAATTTTCTGTAGTTTTTACTTGAACTGCTGATTAATATGCTGCTATAGTTGTTTAGCTTTTGCGAAGTATGTTTTAATCGATGAAAGAGACCAATTTCCTCACTAATTGAAATCTCACTTTTTGGGTACAGTACAGTTTTGATGACAAAGTCTTTGGTTAGATTATATGAGATTCTTATGGGGGCATCATACAGCATTTGGCATTTATTGAGTTGCCTTTTCACTAATTTAAGTGGTTAATTAGATGCTGGATGAGCTTTATTGTTGCAATTAGTCTAGGATAGATAAAATTATTCAATTGGAAGTGTGCAAAAGTGCTTATAGAAGGTCATTATTTCATTTGCTAGCTTCTCCTTTTGTACGGCTGTTTGTATTTTGAGAAGTCTTCACTTATGATTTTATGAGCATCTAATATGGTGACTGAAGCTGCACATAAAGCATAGGAGCTCATCAGGCATGGAACTATGACTTCACGGCTTCTGCATTGCCTGTGCTTTAACCTAGAACTAAGCTTTTCAGCTGTTAATGATATTTGTTCTTGTAATCAATCATCCTTTGTAACTAAACTAAAAAGATAATTGATAAATCTTGGTGTTCACAGATACAACTATTTCTTTCATTACTGCTTGAATAGAAGCAATCATTCTTACCAAGGAGCACACACTTGACACATTTTCATATTAACTGCGTGTCTATCCTATCTATAAAATGACTTCTTTCATAATTTCTTATTTTATTTGGTGGTTATATCTCGGAGTTTTATTATTGTGAAATCATCCCGTCCTCATGGAATTTCGAGTATTTACTTTTTGACACCGTTTGGGCCTTCTTGCCACTGTAGTTGCTCTTTTCAGTTCATTAGCATTTAGTCCAAACTACATGTATCAACGTTGACTCATTTTTGATTTTTGATAGCTTATAAACTTGCTTGTTTGTTGAACAGATCGTAACCAAGAAGCAAATTGCAGATGTCTTTATCCAATGCCCACATTCTAGAAGAAAATGCTTTTGTGTCAATATGGGATATGAACGACAGAAACTTCCTGGCAGGTGTTTCTTTCTCCCCATTTTAATTTTTGCAAGTCTAAATTTAATTTATCTTTAAGTTTGTGGGTGTGGATAGTTTAAGGCCCCATTAACCAAAGCATCATTCTCTGTTTTTCCTTTCTAAATATTGGAAACATAAAATGTATATGGAAAGCTCTCCATTTTTTCTTTATGAACACATTTTCAACTGGTAGCAAAATGTGAGACATAAAACTTGTTTTTGATGTTCCAAAATCCAAAGTAATTTTAAAACACTGCTTCTTTTTACTTGACAAAGATTCAGCAATCAATTGCTCCTCAGTGCATATCTGGGACTGAAACCAGATCTTTATTTCTAATAGACCTGATTTCTTTCTCTCACACCAGATAGATTACAACTCTTGTTCAAGAGGGGAATCTCTCTCTCTCTCTCTCTTCCTTCCAACTCTGTCTACTTTGTTGTCTCTCTCTCTTTCACCTCTCACATTTAGCTCTCTCTCAAGGTAATGCAGAGAGAACAGAGTATATAGCTGATCCCATGTAAAGATTCTATAGAACTGAAATCTCTGACTAAAGTTTTCTTGTAGTTTGATTTCTAGAAATTATCTCCTTTGGAAAAGGGCTATCCACATTTAAAATTACACGCCATATGTTGTGAATTCGTAGTTGGTAATGCATAATTAATGCCCGGAAAAGATAAATGGACGGAGAAGAAAGTTCTTGCACATAACTTCAATCAACTGCAATTTGTTCATTTTGTTATGCGCTTAATAGAATCATGTGCCTTTATCTCTGCTAATTATGTTACCCAATATTTGTCAATCCCATTTAATCACCAAAAATTTAGCAGAATTATACTCATGCATAAACATCATCTCCAGATTAATATTATTTTTAAATGATGATCCCGGAAATTTATTTTCATATTTCATACTAGGATTATCTCCTTCTCTCGCAGGACTTCCAATAAGTGCTTATTTACGGTTGCAACTGCATCATCAGGTGCAAACCCAAGTCTTTTTTGTTTCCATATGATTTATAGCTTTTTAACATTGTACAAATGGCATTGCTGGCTTTTCTCTGATTGTTCTAGTCATCAGGTGTGCAAGATGTTGAAGTTTCTTCTCCATTTAAAGACTTTACTATTACTACTAGCAGTGTAGATAAAACTAATGAATTAAAGGTGAGAGAAATGAGTCTCTTTCTGGTATCATTTTTGTTTGTTAGTATGAAATGTGAATAGTTTAAGTTGTATGTTAATGTTCTCCAATGCTTAAATAGTTTAAAAATGCGCAAAATGTATTAATGGGGAAAAAAAATAAAATTCCAAGTCTTCCTCTCTTTTATCAATTATTAATTTACTTAAATTTCTGCTTCTTATAAGATAAGTGTAGAGGTATCTGGCTTAAAAACCCAACAAATATTTGATAACGTGTTCTCCAAGATGGTTGCTGATGCTCAGCCAATTCCAGGATTTCGAAGAGTAAAAGGAGGTACACCCTATCTTTCATTAAACATCGAAATTGTTAAAGTCCATCAATTGACTTATGATGCCAAATCTTCTTCTGTTTTTCATACTATTAGTTTTTATCTTTTTCTTATTTATATTTCTGATATGTTCTGTTATATCTCCTATGGCATTGTTCACCCTCCTCAAACTGGAAACTGCCAGGAAAGACGCCTAATGTAAGCTTCTCTTCTCCAGCATTTGTGAATTACTCCTGTTAGCTGTATGTACACAATGAACTCGGGGAGACTACATATTTTGAATGTGAACACGCAACACAGTTGCGAAATAAGGGCATTGGTTATAATTCCTCTCCAGCTACTACGTATTGTAGATCACAGTCTGAAATATCAGAATTTGCCTCTGTTTGGATCAACTAAAAAGTTAGATTAAAATCTAAATCAAAGTCAACAATTAATTTTAACAACACATGCCACGGGACCCACAACTTTTCAATTACACATTTCATCAACTTTTATCGGAATCTATTTTTACTAAACCAAACAGGGGCTTTATGTTCATGCTTTTTCTTATTTTACTATTTGATGCAGCACATAGAATATTCCTTCCATTAAACAGGATTTTTTTGAATTCATGGTCATGCATTAGATGGTATCACTATGTGTAAAATGCTTGCTTGATCCTTTTTTGTTATTTTATTTAGTATAGAATTTTTGATATCTTAGGAATCTGCTTACCTTACTCTTTTGTAGCTTTTCTATTCTGTAGTAAATCTACACTTGTTACTATTGTCTAAGTTACAATAGCACACTTATTTCTCAGATAAACGAGGAATTGAATCAAATTTGTGGCTTTATCTCTGTTCAAAATACATTGCATTTTCATTTTTATAAATAATAATTGTTTTCACATTGGAAGCACCTTCAACCTTGTTATTTGAAGCACGTGCCTTTGCTGATGGGTTTCTTTTGTTCCTTGCAGATACCCAGGGAAATTCTTCTGGAAATTCTTGGTCCCTCAAAAGTTTACAAGCAAGTAATTGAGAAAGTAATTAACAGTACAATAGCGGAATACGTAGATAAGGTATATTTCTGGGTTTTAACCATTTGCTTCATTTATTTCATATGCACCCATTTTCATGGAATTACAGTAAAGTTTTTAGCCTATGTTTAATTTAACTTGATTACTTCACAAATTTTTCATTGGTGTTTGGTGATTAATATCTTTCTGCAGAGGCTTTTAAGTTCGAACGGAATTCAATGATTCCTCAACTTTAAGTGCTAGGAATCAAATTTTAGTATCAGTTTTTTTTTCTCTGAGTTTTAACTATATCTCATCAAGCAAGGAATTATAGTTACGAATGAGGGTGAGAGGAAGAATGATATAGAGTAACACCCTCACTTAGATTCACTGTCAAGACAATTACGTCACTTAGTCTGGGTTGGACATAAATAGGAATTGGATATTTCATCGTTAGATTGTCATGAAAATGAGTAATATGCTCTTTTTGCAAGTATGTGTACAGAATTCATTTTACGCTTACAATGCAATAAATCACACTTATCTTTCTAGTGCAATTTTCAAAAGCTTCAATTTGTTAATATGCTGTTCACAGTTGCCACACGAGTGTCTAACATCTCAAGGCATATCTAGACATGGAAATCTTTCCAGTAAAACCTTTTTCGCGCTCTTTTAACTCTTAGGGAGATTCTCTAGAGGGGAGGATTATGGAACGGTTATGAAGTGCAAACTAAGATGATTTCCATAGAGAGAGAGCTCTCCTTAACCCCTGAGAAAAGCAATGGATTAAGTTGTTTACCTATGCACGACATATGTTGCACATACGTTAATGTAGCTAGTACATATGTTTGAAATACACATGGATGTTGTGGTGTTTTGTGAAGGCTAATCTAAAGTTTTTCAATCGATAAATTAAGATCAATTTTATGGCAAATATGAAAATTTTAAAATTGTTGCTAAAGAGAGCTGCACAATTAACCAGCCTCTAACTTGTATCCATACAGGCTCTTAGAAAGATTTTTATAAAGAAGCTTAGGTACTCTTGGAGTGCCGGCTTTGGACGAGAGTACATGATGTGCATGTGACTCATATAAAGTGGAACACAGGTCTTGGATCAAATAAGCCGATACTGTCGCTCAGGTTTAATTCATTGTCTGGTTGCTAGGGACGGTTGGGGGTGCGGGGGGCAACGCTCCCGTGGTACGGTACATGGGTATTTCTTGTACGGGTTTTAAAGTCTTATATGAGGCAATGCAAGGGTTAGTATAAATAATATGTTGTAACCCTATTTTTGATTACTGAATAAAATTATCTTCGTTTCGCTCTCGTGGACGTAGGCACACCGTCGAACCACGTAAAATTTTTGAGTTGATTTTTCTTTTTCATTTTTTTATTATTGCGCATAAAATCCAACAGTACACTTAGTGGAGTAGTTTTTATCAATGTTTTAAAAGCCGTGCCGGCTTGGCTGTTTCAACCAAGAAAACTAGGAACTGAGACCAAAACTGGTCTAGTTAGGGCTTATAAAACCTCTAATTAAAAATCTGTGCCAGAACCTGTTAACTGTGAAGCACCGACACGCTTCCGGCATCGGCGTGTCGGTGTCCGACACGTATCGGACACGGGTACGTCGGAGACACGTCGCCGACACGTGTCGGGTTCCTTGCGGCGTGTCGAACTGGAGGGAAACGGTGAAGAAGTGAAGAAAGAAGGAAGAAAACGGTACCTGTGTTGGCTGCACTGCTGCTCCGGTAACGGCAAGGAAGAAAGAAGAAAGAAGAAAGGAAGAAGAAGAAGAAGAAGAAGAAGAAGAGAAAGAGAGAAGTGACGAGAGAGAAGACAGTACCTGTCTGTGTTGGGTAATTTTCAAAGCAGGCTATAATTTTCAAAGCAGGCTGCTGGTTCAGTGGACCCAACATATTAAATGCACTTCGTAGTATATTAGTCATATTAATGCATTGTACACATTTTTTTGCAGTATGCATTACTTTTTTTCAACTTTAAACAACATTCAAGATTTTATGTTAATTAATTTTTTACTATTTTACCCTTCATATATGAATTTAATATCATATTTTATTTATATTTATTATTTAATTATTTATATACAAGATGCAGTAAGTATAAAAAAAAATTATTATTATTTTTAATTATTAAAATAAATTAAAATTAATATTTTAATCAACGTGTCGAAGACGTATCGTGTCGGAACATTTTGGAAAAATAGCGTGTCGACGTGTCGGACACGTATCGTGTCGGACACTCGTGTCCGTGTCGGTGTTTCTTAGCCTGTTAAGCTGGCCGGTTTATGGAAAACTCGTGACTTGTTCTTGGTTTTGCCAGTTCGACCTTTTGACTCTTGACCCTTTTTCTTTTTTGGGTTGGTATTTAAAATATTGGTTTTTATGTCTTGCACTTAAGGCGTTAATGTAGTAAATATCCAGAGATTATTCATAAGCTCGTTCACTTGATATTTAGCTTAAACTTGGATCAACTATCAGAAGCTTCACCTAAATATATAGTATTTTGCTCTACTAAGTGACAGGTGGGGACCTGCATGGCCTAGAACGAACAAGTCACCATTCTCTTAAGGGTGAAATTAGAAGATTTATATAATTTTGTGATTTGTTCATAAAGCTATAAATGTTTGTGTTGCAAGTGTCAGCAATACATGTCTTACTTATCTTGAGGTACTTTTAATGCATTGAAATGAGTGCGAGATGTTTCAAGATAATATCAAAATGGCTCATCAAGATCTTTGTCTAAATTAGTTTGTTTGATGTAGATTTTTAGAAACAAAGCTGATAGAAGTTGGTGGATCCCATGAAATGTGTGAACAAGTGATTAGAAGTTGTTTTGGGGGAAAGGAGGCGGCGGGGATGTGTGGTTAAAATTAAATTTTGATCAGCTTTGTAGCAAAAGGTAGCTTTTACAGACAAGTCTTTTGTAAATTACTCCATGAGAAAACATGCTTTCTAGAGGTCAACAGTTAAAGAGTTTCTCGCTTTTTATGGGTCTCTCTCTTAAAGTTATAAAGATCGAAAAATGATTTTCATTAGCAAGATTCTCTAGTTAAGATTATAGATATGACGTAGATACAGATGCTTCGGTGGCTATTGTGAACTATATTGTGAGACATCAAAGGTTTTGAAAAGCATGCCACAATGCTCCATAGATAATTGCTCCCTCTGTTGGGAAAGAATGTTTAAGTTTGAATTAGAAGGATTCTTATGTAGGAGCTCAAATGAGCATTTGATATAACTTGAGATTTTACACTCAAAGTTGGTGGTTAAAATATTAATCAGTCACATTGAGTACTGGTCCCAGTTTGTGAGATTAATGATTGGTAAAATATTCGGTTAGTGCGGCGCACATTCACTTTCAGGAATGAGCGTTTTGGCCCCTGTTTTGATACTTGTTCATTTTGAATCCTTTCTTTGTGCAATTTTCTTCATTTGACTTCTAATTTCTTCCAATTGTTTCTTAGCACTCTCCAATCGCCGATATGTGTCCCGAATCATCTTTTGAAAATTTGCAATTTAGTCCCCAGACTTTGTATTATGTCCATTTTAGCCTCTTTTCTTTGGCTTCTTTTGACCACTTCCATCGTTTTGCATCGAGTTCCTCATAAAAAACTAAGTATACATTGAATTAAGCTATAATTTATCAAAATCAAGAACAATTTTATCTAATAGATAAGTGTACAAAATACACTTATCAGGTGGCATATGGGATGTTGAGTGGTTGAGATGGTGGTATCAACTGTGTATGATAATAAATGGCCAACATCCAAGGGATGCTCATCGAAACTTCTTTAGATTTTCGTTTTACATTTTTAGTAAGTTGAGATTTGAACTTTTCTTCTTATTTATCTCTTCAAAAATTGCAGGAAGGTTTGACAGTTAGCAAAGATTTGCTGGTAGAACAGAGTTTTGAAGATCTTGAAGAAATCTTTGAACCTGGTGATGAATTCAGATTTGATGCAATTGTCCAGTTTATAGATTCGAACTGAATAGTTGGTTTAGTCATAAGTAGCCCCCCTCATCACACATTGTTGAACTTTAATACGTTGTAATGCACTTTATTTCCATTTAAATATGAGTTCTGTTACAATTTATTGTTATAGACCCCTTATTAACATTATAATGAGAAAAGCCCCAATTTTGTATGGTTTGGTCATCTCAAGTTGACTCTCCAGTTATATTCATTCGAAGAAAGGAAAAATCTATTAAGCATTTGTTGGACTGTACTAAACATGAAAATTTTCATAAAGTGTTTCATCATTTTTGTTATTGTTTTATTTGTCTAATCTAAAGTATAAAACATACTTGGAGAATGAAGGAAAATTCTCAAGATATGGTTGTCTCTTTTTAAAAGGTAATTAGTGTGTGGACGTCAAACATAAGGAAAAACTAGACACGTGCATAGGATGATTGGAAAATGTTTAATAAGCTCTAGTCGATTGACAGACAACAATTTTATTTTCCTTCTTTTCTAGTGAATAAGTGGACTCCCTCCGTTGAATTGAGTCTTCTTCGATTGCTTTTTAAGTATTGAACCCAAATCCAGTTTGTTTCGCAAAAAGTATGGATGAAGTAAGAAAAACAACACAAGGAGAGAGAGATAAACTTGGTTATGAGAACCGAAGGTTAGAAAAGTTTCGAACTGATACCCCCATTCCTTAGGAATAAGGAAAAGGAATCAGAAGAGGACAAGGCCAATCATTCAACTAAAACAAAGCTATCCAGAGCTGGAAGAAGCGATTCCATTCTTAATGATGCCTCCAAGATCGGCAAGAACTAGCAGAGATGACTTGTTTTAAATTATGCCTTCCAAAAATATTGGGAGGTCTTAGGTTTTTCAACCTGTCCACGTTCAATTAATTTCTCGTCTCCAAATAGGCATGGAGGCTGCTAAATAACAAGTCCTCTTTATTAGCTTGATTGTTGTGCAGTAAATACTTCAATGGAGACGAATTCCTCTCAACTGTAGACAAAGTTGGATCTCTATTGTTTTGAAGAGTATATTTTGAGGCCGGGAGTCATAAAAGAATGACCCGAGTGGATGGTTGGAGTAGGCAATAAAATTGGTGTTTTTGATGACTCTTGACTGCCCCGTCCAAGCACTTTTAAGCCAATAACAGCTACGAGTGATGAAACTTCACCGTGCGCAATTGAAAACAGATGGCCCTGAAACATTGTTAGAATTGGCAACTACTTAGTATGGTAGAACAATGTCGTATATCTGAAGATGCATTTCGAGTGGACTTTCCAGACAAGCTATCCTTCATAATGTTCTCGTGAAAAGGATTATTCAAATTTTACACTGTTAATCATGAGTTGTTTGGAGGGGTTTATGTCACAACGGACAAAGACTAAAGCAAGTGTTAAAAAAGTTCAAATTGATTTATTATGTGCTGAATACGTAACCAAAGATACTGATATCATGGCAGAATTTCGAGTAACTCCTCGACCTGGAGTTTCGCCTGAAGAAAGAGGGGCCTCATTAGCTGTCGAATATTTTAGTGGTACATGGACAACTATGTGGACTGATGGACTTATTAGCCGTGATCGTTACAAAGAGTGATGTTATCATATTGAACTTCAATGAATTTAGCTGTTGCACTTGTGAAATTCATGAACAATTTTGTATGGAGAGTAAACATGAAGATTTGCAGCCAACAATCGAAGGTTAAAAAAAAAAAAAAAAAAAAAAATGTGAGAGGACCTTAGATGATGTGTATATCAAAATACCCTCATCCGAATGAATAACATGCATTGCAAGTGGATGGTTTCCCTTGGTTCCTGACTTTGGAACCAAATTTGTCCAATTTTTTAACTTTTTATTTTGTGGTAATTACATCAAACCAGAATTTCAAAGATCTAATTTCAAAAACCAAATATAAAGTTTGTTTATACAAAAATCAGATGTTAATTCAAATATTTAATATTAATAATACCACCAAAATTCATCATAACCCTAATTACACTCTCATCTCATTTCTCTCTCGACATCTCTCAATAACCATCCATCTCTCTCTCTCCCCCGCACAGTAGCCGGCATTCCCTCTCTTCTCTCCATACCCATCTCTCTATCTCACACATCAAAACAGTCGACATCCCGTTCCTAGTCGTCATCTTCATTTCTGATAAGTAGTGTCGGGGCGATATAGCCCGATTCTTTCGAGCGTTGCTGTAAACTCACGTTTGGTTCTTCCGACATCCAGTTCCCAGCCGTTGTCTTTATTCGGTTCTTTGATTTTTGGATCTCACTTTTGGTGTTTGGTTCGTGGTGGTTGTGAAGTTGGCACAGTGTTTGTTGTTTGGTTCTTCCGGCATCCCATCCCTAGCCACAATTTCCATCCTGTTCTCTGATTTTTGGATATGATTTTTGTTGTTTCGTATTTGGCTGGTGGCGGTTATGATGTTGGCTACGTTGGCGAGGTGGTGGTGCTGTTGGTGGTCTAGTGAGTTGGTGGTGGTAGCAGTGCAGCGTTGCTGTTGTTAGGAAGTCGCGACCTAATTGTGCGATAACATTATTTTGTATTTGATTTTTTGGTAGTGTCTGGGTGACGGTGGTTGTGATGTTGGCAGTGATCGTAAGATGGTGGTGATGTTGGTGGTCCGTTGCGGTGGTGGTGATGTTGATGGTGGTGGCGGCGGTACTGTGGTCTAAGGTAGTATGTAATGGGGCGGGGTTATTGGGGTACTTGTGACCGATTATTTGGTTGACTGTTATCGATAAATTGATTAATTTTGTGAGTGTGATCTAAAAATATGATTGTGACTCTAAATTATGAAGCTTTGATCAAGAAATAACTTGTGACTAATCGTTTTGATAATTTTTTATTGTTAAATAAATTGAGACTTGTAATATTTCTAATTTGTTGTCGATAAATAAATTGTGACTTATAAATTTTTTGATTTGTATTCAATTTCAACGAATAAGGGGGTTAAAAGCATTGAAATCAAAGATTTTTATAGTAGTTGCCACGCACGAACCAATAAAAAGGATTTCAACGTCCCTCTCTAAATAAAGGCATGCAACCCATCAAACTACTAGCATGGGAGTTCGAATAATAATTTGTGATCAATTAATTTGATAATATGTGATCGAAAAATAAGTTGTAACCTATAAGTACGTAACTGTCATCATAAATTGTATAATTATGGCCTTAATATATTTAATTAATAAAATATTTTTTTAATTAATTATTTCATAAATAAATTTTAATTAATATATGATTTTTGAAGTTTTAAACCTTGCTCATTAGTTTTGAAACATGTCATAATAAATCTCTTAATTATGAATTTTTCCTTTTTATTTTTGTAATCACCATAATGCAATGATCGAGACAAAGTTTGTAGGGTCCAACTAGTGTTGACCCTAAGTAGTAAGTATCCTAACCAATCATATTTATTCATTTTAATGATTAAATCATATCACTTTCTTTCATAGTCACTCCTGGATGCACTATATTAGTTATCCTTCTCATAAACCTTTTTGGGACATCGTACGCGTATGCAGAGTCCTAATCGGAATTGAATGCTATTATGATAGCTTTTGGATGCTAATTTATGACCAATTTACACTGGATTAAGAAAATGTTGAAATATATATTTTCTTGTATATTTTACTTTTTTTTTTTTAATTTCTGTTAGATATTGAGAAAATAATTTATATTGCCAGCTCACTTATTTTTATAAAAAATATTATGGGCAAAATTGAACTTAAATTGAAATCAACAATTCTGATTAGGATTTGCTTTCAATAATTACGTGGATCCAATTATTTCATTTATGAAATACTCAAAATATAATATGTGATTTCGATGAAATACTTTGATTGAGCCACTTGATGCCCTAACCTAAGAATTATACAAATCACGAGCCTACCTATCAAGCACCTCCACAACAATTGAGAATTCAAATTATGTAAAGTTCAAAATATGGAGAAAAAACTTACTTGTATTCAAGTAACACGATCGAAATATAGTTAGAACATAAGCATTAATAACTAATAGAACATGTGATAAAGCCAATAAAGATTGTATTGTTCATATAAATGTATATTTTCTTGGTCTAACATTGTGTCAGGAAGAAAAAAGAAAGAATTAATGAGTGAATGGAATAAGTAAAAGGATAAAAAGAAAAAAAATGAAAGGAAGAAATAATGTTATGCCATAGTCAAAGCGACGTGTTTTGTTCTTGATGTCATTTCATGGCTTAGACAATCAAAAAAAGTTCTTCAGTTTAGTGCCCGGGTCCTCTGGGGCTAGGTCCAGATGCCAACCTCTCAAGCCAAAACGACATGGTATTTCTTGCCTTCTCATACATTATTGGAAAGTTAGCAAGGTGATTCGAGCTCGAAAAATCTTCTGATAAAATCCTTGCTCCCTCGACCTGGATTTGACTTGTGAAAGCAACAAAAATCATAGAAATGATCAACAAAGTGGTCGCACTTCGAGAATTCATTTTCTAAAATTGATCTTAAATGCTCGTGAAAGAAACTTGAGTTATTTGTGAAGAGAAATAGAGAATATTTTGTTTCTTATTGAGTATGATAAAGTATGTGTGGATTCATAGTGTATTTATATTGGGAGTAGGTTACTGTTTTTAAATTGAACCAAATTTACGTGTTGACCAACTCAATTCACATGTTGGAATAGGTAAATTAGAACTTGTCAACAAGTATGAGCTTCAAGTGTTATGAAATTCCGAAAATGACCTCGTACATTACTAGTGGAATGAGAATAGGAGGCCATTTTGGACTTTGAACTGGAAAGGGTAGTTTGGGAACATGAGGAAATTTTGTCCGAGTCTAATATTTGAAAATTTTGAATTGACCGGCGCTATATTGAACTCAGAAGTTAGAAGGGAGACCCAGACTCGGATGATATCCTAGCCAATGAAATTACCTTATTGCCCTATTGAGTGGGAGAAAAAGATGACATTTTTCTCTTTCATGTTTGGAAAGACTTACCGACCCCTCACCGTAGGGGTTGGTCCTACATGAAAAAAAAAAAACGTCAGGGCCCACGACTGTGAGTAATCTGGCAAGGGTCTGTAAATCAGACCCTATAAGTGTAGCAGGATTCTTTATGTTTTAATTGAAAGTAGAAATAAATCATCCTTGAATATAATTCTTACCTCTTATGGTCAAGTGATGA